CTACTGTACTGAACTGAACTACAGTTCTCAGAAGAGAAGAGACTGCGGCGGAAGCGTGTCGGTTGGTCTGTGTTACCCAGAAAGCAGTTGGGCACAATATCGCAACACCAACACCGTGAGTGAAACAATGACTGGGGCAGCCTACTATATAAAGTACTCAGGGACCACTTCCTTATTTTTAGACATACACATTTGTAGAATACGGAACAAATCGCATCCCGTATCTGTTCAGTACAGGACACAACATTTAACAGCCAAATACGGGATGGTTCCGTATTTTAAGGGACGGGTGGCAACCCTACCGATAGCAGGACAATTTGCACAATGCCTGTTTTGTTTTTTTCTTGGAAAAAGTGATCAAAAACAAGTTTTTGTCTAAGTTAAGGTGAATTCATGGTTCCTTTTTCCTCATGGATGATCGGAATCGGAATCTGCAGGAAAAAATCTGATCGGCACATCTCTAAAAACAATAATTTAAAAATCTGTGAAAAAAACATCTCATTATTCTGTCTTTTATCCCAGAAATAGTTTTTGACAATAACTGACCAAAAACCAGGAAGGTTTAGTCTGTTCACTGTGTGCACACATCTACTTTCAACCATATCTTGTCCTTCTGCAGGCTCCGTGCGACGACGACCAGGACTCATCCGACAGAGAAGAGGGCGAGGTGGACGGAGACGGCCCCTCTGAGGTCCCCACGGTCCGCGTTGCCACAGCAACCCTGAAGAGCCACCAGGGCGTGGTGATCGCAGCCGACTGGCTGGTGGGAGGCAGGCAGGTGGTGACGGCTTCGTGGGACCGCGCCGCCAACCTGTACGAGGTGGAGACGTCCGAACTGGTTCACACTCTGACCGGTATGAACTTGCTGGTGGTTTGGATCATTGTACAGCAGAGGGAAAATGTTTTAGTGGATATATTCTGTACGGACACTTGGTCGTAAGTGGACGATTCAGTTGGACGGAGGACAAAACGTTCTGTTTGTGGCCTCTTTAGCTTTTGTTCAAGGATGTGAAAAAAGTTCAAATTTGAACTTTTCAGCCTAAATTTGAAACATTTCTGTCATCAGTGAAACAGGGTGGTAAGGTGGTTCGCTGCACAGACACAAAATCTTATCAAGTGTTATATGGTCCATTTTTGTAGTGCAAATCTCTTAGAATACTTGGAATAAAACAAAACTAATTTACAAGTAACTTTTCAGTAAGACTCAGAAGGTTGTTTTAAGTCAGTAAATCCTTAATATTGATTTTACAAAGTAGTAGATTTTGTGTTTTTGCAGTGCAGCATAAAGGAGCAAGCGGGTTACAAATGATGGAAATGGAAATGATTAGTCAACAGGGCTGAAAACAAATGAGAGAAACAGATTTCAGATTCTGAAAATGTAAAAAAAAAATTTGTTGATCTATAATCATTCACATCTTGATGAAGGTTTTGAAGTGTGTGTTTGTAATGTTACCAATGTTTGTGTTTGTGCAGGCCATGACCAGGAGCTGACCCACTGCTGCACCCACCCCACCCAGCGCCTGGTGGTCACCTCATCCAGGGACACCACCTTTAGACTGTGGGACTTCAGGGACCCGTCCATCCACTCTGTCAACGTCTTCCAGGGACACACAGAGTGAGTCCACATCGGGTTTTTTCCTCTGTTCCTTTCTCACAGATTGGATCTTCTTGGGGGTTTTTTTGTTGTTGTTGTTTTTTTTTTTATTGTGGCTTCAGGGTTTGAGAGTCTGTCCTCCGATTTCATTCACACATCCATTTGCCTGCAGCCCAAACGTTCAGTAACACTTTATTAGAAGGGATGTGCACAAGACTGACGTGACACTGTCATAAACATGACATAATGACTATTATGAACATGTATTAGTCTTCATGAATGTTTGACTGTTATGAAGTGTCATTCGGTAAATAATGACACTTTGAATGTAAAGTTGTGCTAAAATGTGCATAAAAAGTCCGTTAAATTGCCAACTTTGCATTCAAAGTGTCATTAATTACCAAATAACACTTAATGACAGCAGCCATAACCATTCATAAAGACACCTTCATGTTCATAACAGGTGTTGTATTAAGTTTATGACAGTATTATGTGATTGAGTATAAAGTGTTACCAAACTTTGAACCTTGGTTGCGGCTGATTTGCAGCCAAATGTCCACTAGGTGGTGCTGTCTCATCCTCCAGCTCTTCTATTCCCCTCCAGTTCCCTTCTTCCTCTTTCCTTCACCATTAATCTGCAGACCTTATTGCTCTAAGCCAAATCCTCCACTTGCCTTTCATTCATTACTGAGCACTTCTCTTCACTCCGACAGTTTGCGTCTCTGTTTCCTATCGCTACCTCTCTTTCTCCCCCGCTCTCCTGTTCATTTATCTGTCCGTTTCAGCGTTAATCCCCCCACTCTGTGTAATTTGGCTCTTCGCTTGCTGTTAACACTCAATTGCAGCCGCCCGTTTCAAAGTGACGGCTGTCAGGCTCGTCTGTGGCTTTTAGCCGCGCTGCTCTTTAAAAGCCGTAAGAGGAGGGGTTGTGTGTGTGTGTGTGTGTGTGTGTGTGTGTGTTTATGCGCATGTCTACACGCGTCCGCTGGCTGCTGCTCTCTGGCAGCTTTTGATTGCAGGCGAGGGATTATGTCGAGCTCATTACGTACAATCCCAACATGAATAATTCCTGCAGATCCCAGACTAATTCCCTCCCATAGACAATTGCAGTAATGAGATTAGACTCCAGTGTTTCACAGTTAACATCCCCGCCTCCTCTCCTCCGTCCTTATGTCCTTCCCATGAGGCCTCTTTTGCCTCTCGCCCTTCCTGATGTGTTCAAAGCACCAAACCCTCCAAAACATGTAAATATGACACAGATTTCTGTTTTATAAACAACAAAAATCATTCATCTGCTGCTTGTTAAATATTCATGTGCTTGAATTAACTCTACTGTATTATTCAACTGCTAACTTTGAGCAGGTCGAGGCTTTATTTTACTGCTGCTAATTGCAGGAATTGTCTGAATACTGTAAGCTGATCTGTAGGCTTAATGAAGAGGCCTGTCATAACAAATTTGCTGGATGATAAATTGTCTCAGAAGTTATTGCGATAAACAATAGTGTTGTTTTGACACCATTTTCAAGTAATATGCTAATAGCATAATTATACTAGAACATATTCTTTAAGATTAATAAACTATCAATTCTAACAAACATTTAACAATGAAACTGGAAGACATTTTAAATGTCCAAAAAAATTAAAACAATAGAAACAACAAATAAGGTGAATTATTTAGTCTCTGTAGACCTCTGCAACAGGTCTATTAGAGTTTATTATGTGTACTGATATTTGAAAAAGATGCCAGTAAAAAGAGAGGAGTAAAAAGGAGAATTACTGCAATTTAGATGATGAAATGTTTGTTTTTCTTGTTAAAAACTGAATTTAATTGTTTGCATCTTTTAATGTATTTCTAATACTGTGTTAAAAAAGGCATAAATGGTTAAATAAAAAATCAGCAGAAAGCGACATTAGTCATCTGAATAATTGATTTAACATTTGAATTTTGAGACATTGTGGAGTTTAATGATCTGGAGGCTATAATCATCATGGCTTGTAGTCTTTTTAATCCTTCTTATATTTAAACTAAAAATACATGAAGTAGCTCGGGGAAGAAGAAGCAGTTTATAAAATCTCCACTTTACGTTTGGATGAGGACCAGATGGCTCATCTTGAGTTCCAAACATCAGTGAAAGCACAAAAACTTCAATCGTGTCCCTTTATTATATTTTTTTTAAGTAGTCTGAAATATTCTGTAATAAAATGTTTGAATGCATCAGATTTAGCATTTTCCATTGAAGATGCTGATGAATTTCTGTTTCTTTTCCCCAATCAGGTAGAAATTCTTAAATAAAGTTGATATTTTAGATTGAGAACAGATTGGATCCACTCTTTGGGTCCTAAAGGGTCACTTCCTGAACCAGTTTGTCGCTACATGTCCGCAGCGAGCTACATCCACTGCCGTCTCTCTCTCGTTTCCTGGGATCTTCCTTGTGGCATAATGTGGCAACATGACTGACATAAACACGCCATCATTCCTGTGAAAAGCTGCAGTCGCAGACATAAATGAGAATGGTTTAATAGAGGCAGTGCAGGCTGAGAGCCGGAGGAAGGAGGGGGGGGAGGGGGGGTGAAAGCCTCCCGTTTCCACCGCCTTCACCGGCAATTACGGCTAACGCTGGCTGACAGCGGAGCGCGGCGGCTAAAAGTGCAGCATCCACCCTCCGTCCCACCGCCCCGCCATAATTGCAGTGTAATGACAACGGCGTGCAAGCTAACAAAACGGCCGAGAGCAAACGAGAAACGACAGCGCACTTGCTCTACAAACGGGATGCCATGTCGGGTTTGTCTCCCCTCCCGTTGACGGCTTCCTCAGACATTCTGATTGCGCTCCACAGAGTGTGTGCGCGCGCACGTGTGTGTGTTAGATGCAGATCTGATATCTCGTCTCTCCTGAGGAATACTCCAGCACTTCAGGGACTGTCAGCTTTGCTGCAGCGCTGGAGAATTAACACAAAGCTGCAAAAGCACTTAGTCTCCATCTGACTGGTTTCATTTACATCTGTAGCTTTTATCTTTAAATACCAACAGTTTAAGATCCATATGATTCAACATCAAAGTAGATAAAAACCCTCCGTTCATCCTGAGGAATTAAAAGCTCTGGTTTCTAGTGAATTGGTGATTGTCAACTTCTCAAAAACTTTAAATTGCCATAAGGAAAAAATATCTAATTTCTAATTAAATTTTGTCAGTGAGTTGGCAAACAAACAGTTTAAGCAACCCAAACTGACCAGACTAAGATGATCTATGAGAGAAGTAACTGTTTGCATGTCTAAACACAAAAAGCAATGTGTGGCAAAACAACCCATCACCACACATCAGCCTGAGTAAACTACATTTACATTGAAACATGGTGATGACAGCGTCATGCTGCGGGTTGTTCTTCTTCACTTATCCAAGACTTTCTCTTCATCTATTGCATAGAATCCCAATTAAATCTATTTGGGCAGTGACTTTTAACGCATTCATTTTGATTAATTAATTATATATTTTTTTACCTTTTTTTTAACACAATCAAAAACAAACAAAGGTTCCAACTGGAACTTTGCATTTGCTCGTTTCTGGTATGCCCATAAATCTGGCACACGAGTGACATCTGCTGATGACAACAATGGACGACAAAGATGCTTGTTTTGGCCCTCTGGGAGCAACAGACTGATAACATAAACAACTTTGTATATTTGTCTATTTATTCAACAATTTAGCAGCAAAAAAAGTTTCTTTTAAAATGGAAAATAATGTTTAATTTGTCAGTGTATAGGTTTTGATTAAAATACAGTTACTGCAATTAAGTAATTAGACGCAGCAATTAACTCAAATAAAAATCATAATGGACTCCCAGCAGTGAAATGCACTCAGCCTTGATTCAATTTAAAAATTCTGTCATGACAGGATTGCATCATTTTTTTGTATATACACTCATTAATATTTAAAAAAAAATCTCACTTTTTCTCCACTAATGTCGGTGAGATGCTTTTACATTTGTAATCATTTTTTTTCCCTCGGGTCTTTCAGTCTCTTGACCTTGGCTGTCAGAGACCAGCCGAGCGTTAAGTACCACCAAACTCCTTCTTCCCCCCCTTTTCCTTCCTCAATGTCGTCGTGAGAAACCCTTTAACCTTAATCAACCTTATAATCAATTACCTTGTCTGATTACGCTGCGTGCTCACCTCCCATCATCCCCTCCACGCCGCTTGTATTCCCAGCTGGGCTGTACCCTTCAAAGTCAGGAGGTGCCAGTATCGGCGCAGCACTTTCCTTGAGCCCCAGCCTTTAATGGGGCCAGGTTTGGGTGCCTAATTAGCCTGTAATGGCATGTCAATTTGAATTAAGGGGGTGGTCCATTTAAACAGGACAGACTAGATGTAGAAGCTGGAAAGAAGGAGAGGTGTGATGGAACACTGTTTACTATAATTATTTCCTTCTTTTTATTTTATTTTATTTTTTGTATGTTTCGCTCCATGAATGGACGGGAACAAAAGGGAAAAACTGAACGTTTCTAATAGTGAATAAAATTACGAGCGTGTAAGAATAAGCAAGTTGTTGTAGGTCTGATTTCTTCTTTTTGTTTTAGACTTTTGTTTCTAATTTTTCGGGTTCACGTTGCGCGTTTGGACAAACATTCCCTCTGGTTTCTGCTCTCTCAGTTCGGACAGTTACGTGTAACAGGACCGACTGGAGATCCTTCACACCCACAGCATGACCAGGCGCTGCGGCTCTTTGAGGATAATTGGACAACATGAGTTATGACAACATTTAATTTTCCCTTTAGAATGAATAAGGGATTAAGAGAATTCAGTCTTGACGAATAATGGATCTGATAGTCGAGTTCTGAAGCTTATTTGCATTCAGTTTGTTATAGAAATGGATTCAGTAGTTTCATGCTCATCGTATCAAGAAGAAGAAAATGTTGAGGCCTAAGAGAACGAAAAACCATGTGAGCTAAATGCTGTAAGGAGATTTTGTGTTGCTGGTAATGAATAATAGTTTTGTTGTTTTTTGTTTTTTTTGCTATTCTAAGAAATGTCCTACTTTTAAATAATAAGGAAAAGGGGAGTACTCTGCCTCTCACCCCAACATTACCTGTAAAAGAAAGGTATTTGTAGCTTTTTTAATTTATTTTTTGCTTTATTCCCTCTCCCTCAAGTAGATCAGGATTTAAAGGAACTTATATTTTGATTTGATTATATTACAATAAAATAGCTTTGTTACATCCCAAACACCTTTTGTGAATTTTTTTTTAAATATATATAACCGTCGGATTCTGACAAGTGAGAGATCCACCCTCTCTTCAAGACCTGAGGTCTAAAGCGAGGTTTTCGCTGCGTTTTGCAGAAACTGCTTCATAAGTGATTGTTTCCTCTTCCTGTCTGACCGTCCCGCTCTGTCCTGTTTCTGCAGCACCGTGACGTCCGCCGTCTTCACCGTGGGGGACAACGTCGTCTCTGGAAGCGACGACCGCACCGTGAAGGTGTGGGACCTGAAGAACATGCGATCGCCCATAGCAACCATCCGTACCGACTCAGCTGTCAACAGGTGGGTGAAAGGCGTCGATTTTAAAAATTGTCGTGCTGAAAGCGTGTAATCCAGGACCGGACCCAGCAGTGTGTTTCTTAGGGGAGAATCGCAGATTATTAATGCATTACATCTGTGTAGCATGAAGTTTGATATTAATATTTACATCTGCTGTAGTTATTTTTTTGGTGGGGGTAGGGATAGATCGTAAAAAAAAATGAAAATATTTTCCAGTTTTCAGATCTGCAGATTTCGTTTAAAGAAATGAGAAGTCAAATTTCATTTTGTGTTCAAAGTTGTATTTTTATTAGATCCGTTTCAATCCAATTGCAGCAGTCAGCTGTCAGCATTGAGTTTATAACGCTCCTCCAGTCTGAGCACAACCTAAAAACGCTGCAAAACTGCTGAAACACTGAGTTCCTTTAAATGGAGACTAAAAGCTGAAAACATCATGAATTGTAATCCGTTTTCCAACTTTTCATCCCTTTTTATTTTGTCCCTGCAATGTAAGGTTTCTCACTCGTTTTTATTTTGTCGGCTCGGATGAGAAATTGTGACCCTTGGAATAAAACATCTTTCATAAATTGACATACCGTTGAACCGTTTTTTCCAAAGAGATCTACTTCACAGTGCAACTTTGTGTGATGTTTCAGGATAAGCGTCTCGGCCAACCAAAGGATCATCGCCCTGCCGCACGACAATCGACAAGTCCGCCTGTTTGACATGAGCGGGGTGAGGCTAGCCCGACTTCCACGCAGCAACCGGATGGTAAGGAGAGGACGAAAGCGGTACTAGAAATGACTGCTGCATCACATCTGCTTTTTTTTTTTAAAGAAAAACCATCATAAATATCTGCATGTGTGCAGGGTCATAGGCGAATGGTGTGCTGCACAGCATGGAATGAGGAGAACCAGGCGTGCAACTTGTTCACCTGCGGCTTCGACCGGCAGGCCATCGGCTGGAACATCAACATCCCCGCCCTGCTTCAGGAGAAGTGACCCATCCAGACCCTGCCCTTTTTATTTAGCATGGACTGTGATTCGTGCCATTTCTGTGNGGGGGGGTGAAAGCCTCCCGTTTCCACCGCCTTCACCGGCAATTACGGCTAACGCTGGCTGACAGCGGAGCGCGGCGGCTAAAAGTGCAGCATCCACCCTCCGTCCCACCGCCCCGCCATAATTGCAGTGTAATGACAACGGCGTGCAAGCTAACAAAACGGCCGAGAGCAAACGAGAAACGACAGCGCACTTGCTCTACAAACGGGATGCCATGTCGGGTTTGTCTCCCCTCCCGTTGACGGCTTCCTCAGACATTCTGATTGCGCTCCACAGAGTGTGTGCGCGCGCACGTGTGTGTGTTAGATGCAGATCTGATATCTCGTCTCTCCTGAGGAATACTCCAGCACTTCAGGGACTGTCAGCTTTGCTGCAGCGCTGGAGAATTAACACAAAGCTGCAAAAGCACTTAGTCTCCATCTGACTGGTTTCATTTACATCTGTAGCTTTTATCTTTAAATACCAACAGTTTAAGATCCATATGATTCAACATCAAAGTAGATAAAAACCCTCCGTTCATCCTGAGGAATTAAAAGCTCTGGTTTCTAGTGAATTGGTGATTGTCAACTTCTCAAAAACTTTAAATTGCCATAAGGAAAAAATATCTAATTTCTAATTAAATTTTGTCAGTGAGTTGGCAAACAAACAGTTTAAGCAACCCAAACTGACCAGACTAAGATGATCTATGAGAGAAGTAACTGTTTGCATGTCTAAACACAAAAAGCAATGTGTGGCAAAACAACCCATCACCACACATCAGCCTGAGTAAACTACATTTACATTGAAACATGGTGATGACAGCGTCATGCTGCGGGTTGTTCTTCTTCACTTATCCAAGACTTTCTCTTCATCTATTGCATAGAATCCCAATTAAATCTATTTGGGCAGTGACTTTTAACGCATTCATTTTGATTAATTAATTATATATTTTTTTACCTTTTTTTTAACACAATCAAAAACAAACAAAGGTTCCAACTGGAACTTTGCATTTGCTCGTTTCTGGTATGCCCATAAATCTGGCACACGAGTGACATCTGCTGATGACAACAATGGACGACAAAGATGCTTGTTTTGGCCCTCTGGGAGCAACAGACTGATAACATAAACAACTTTGTATATTTGTCTATTTATTCAACAATTTAGCAGCAAAAAAAGTTTCTTTTAAAATGGAAAATAATGTTTAATTTGTCAGTGTATAGGTTTTGATTAAAATACAGTTACTGCAATTAAGTAATTAGACGCAGCAATTAACTCAAATAAAAATCATAATGGACTCCCAGCAGTGAAATGCACTCAGCCTTGATTCAATTTAAAAATTCTGTCATGACAGGATTGCATCATTTTTTTGTATATACACTCATTAATATTTAAAAAAAAATCTCACTTTTTCTCCACTAATGTCGGTGAGATGCTTTTACATTTGTAATCATTTTTTTTCCCTCGGGTCTTTCAGTCTCTTGACCTTGGCTGTCAGAGACCAGCCGAGCGTTAAGTACCACCAAACTCCTTCTTCCCCCCCTTTTCCTTCCTCAATGTCGTCGTGAGAAACCCTTTAACCTTAATCAACCTTATAATCAATTACCTTGTCTGATTACGCTGCGTGCTCACCTCCCATCATCCCCTCCACGCCGCTTGTATTCCCAGCTGGGCTGTACCCTTCAAAGTCAGGAGGTGCCAGTATCGGCGCAGCACTTTCCTTGAGCCCCAGCCTTTAATGGGGCCAGGTTTGGGTGCCTAATTAGCCTGTAATGGCATGTCAATTTGAATTAAGGGGGTGGTCCATTTAAACAGGACAGACTAGATGTAGAAGCTGGAAAGAAGGAGAGGTGTGATGGAACACTGTTTACTATAATTATTTCCTTCTTTTTATTTTATTTTATTTTTTGTATGTTTCGCTCCATGAATGGACGGGAACAAAAGGGAAAAACTGAACGTTTCTAATAGTGAATAAAATTACGAGCGTGTAAGAATAAGCAAGTTGTTGTAGGTCTGATTTCTTCTTTTTGTTTTAGACTTTTGTTTCTAATTTTTCGGGTTCACGTTGCGCGTTTGGACAAACATTCCCTCTGGTTTCTGCTCTCTCAGTTCGGACAGTTACGTGTAACAGGACCGACTGGAGATCCTTCACACCCACAGCATGACCAGGCGCTGCGGCTCTTTGAGGATAATTGGACAACATGAGTTATGACAACATTTAATTTTCCCTTTAGAATGAATAAGGGATTAAGAGAATTCAGTCTTGACGAATAATGGATCTGATAGTCGAGTTCTGAAGCTTATTTGCATTCAGTTTGTTATAGAAATGGATTCAGTAGTTTCATGCTCATCGTATCAAGAAGAAGAAAATGTTGAGGCCTAAGAGAACGAAAAACCATGTGAGCTAAATGCTGTAAGGAGATTTTGTGTTGCTGGTAATGAATAATAGTTTTGTTGTTTTTTGTTTTTTTTGCTATTCTAAGAAATGTCCTACTTTTAAATAATAAGGAAAAGGGGAGTACTCTGCCTCTCACCCCAACATTACCTGTAAAAGAAAGGTATTTGTAGCTTTTTTAATTTATTTTTTGCTTTATTCCCTCTCCCTCAAGTAGATCAGGATTTAAAGGAACTTATATTTTGATTTGATTATATTACAATAAAATAGCTTTGTTACATCCCAAACACCTTTTGTGAATTTTTTTTTAAATATATATAACCGTCGGATTCTGACAAGTGAGAGATCCACCCTCTCTTCAAGACCTGAGGTCTAAAGCGAGGTTTTCGCTGCGTTTTGCAGAAACTGCTTCATAAGTGATTGTTTCCTCTTCCTGTCTGACCGTCCCGCTCTGTCCTGTTTCTGCAGCACCGTGACGTCCGCCGTCTTCACCGTGGGGGACAACGTCGTCTCTGGAAGCGACGACCGCACCGTGAAGGTGTGGGACCTGAAGAACATGCGATCGCCCATAGCAACCATCCGTACCGACTCAGCTGTCAACAGGTGGGTGAAAGGCGTCGATTTTAAAAATTGTCGTGCTGAAAGCGTGTAATCCAGGACCGGACCCAGCAGTGTGTTTCTTAGGGGAGAATCGCAGATTATTAATGCATTACATCTGTGTAGCATGAAGTTTGATATTAATATTTACATCTGCTGTAGTTATTTTTTTGGTGGGGGTAGGGATAGATCGTAAAAAAAAATGAAAATATTTTCCAGTTTTCAGATCTGCAGATTTCGTTTAAAGAAATGAGAAGTCAAATTTCATTTTGTGTTCAAAGTTGTATTTTTATTAGATCCGTTTCAATCCAATTGCAGCAGTCAGCTGTCAGCATTGAGTTTATAACGCTCCTCCAGTCTGAGCACAACCTAAAAACGCTGCAAAACTGCTGAAACACTGAGTTCCTTTAAATGGAGACTAAAAGCTGAAAACATCATGAATTGTAATCCGTTTTCCAACTTTTCATCCCTTTTTATTTTGTCCCTGCAATGTAAGGTTTCTCACTCGTTTTTATTTTGTCGGCTCGGATGAGAAATTGTGACCCTTGGAATAAAACATCTTTCATAAATTGACATACCGTTGAACCGTTTTTTCCAAAGAGATCTACTTCACAGTGCAACTTTGTGTGATGTTTCAGGATAAGCGTCTCGGCCAACCAAAGGATCATCGCCCTGCCGCACGACAATCGACAAGTCCGCCTGTTTGACATGAGCGGGGTGAGGCTAGCCCGACTTCCACGCAGCAACCGGATGGTAAGGAGAGGACGAAAGCGGTACTAGAAATGACTGCTGCATCACATCTGCTTTTTTTTTTTAAAGAAAAACCATCATAAATATCTGCATGTGTGCAGGGTCATAGGCGAATGGTGTGCTGCACAGCATGGAATGAGGAGAACCAGGCGTGCAACTTGTTCACCTGCGGCTTCGACCGGCAGGCCATCGGCTGGAACATCAACATCCCCGCCCTGCTTCAGGAGAAGTGACCCATCCAGACCCTGCCCTTTTTATTTAGCATGGACTGTGATTCGTGCCATTTCTGTGGAACTACATGTTTGGTTTTGTGTGTGTGTGTGTGCAGGCGGTCACTCATGTCACCGTTTTCCGTTTTTCTTTTTAGTCATTGCCAAATAGCTTCTTCTGCATGCTAGACGACCTCGGTTTGCAGACGCTGCTTCAAAAGCAGTCGGAGAACAATCTGTAGAGTATGTATATAAGATGTTGTGGCCTGATTAAGTGACAGATTCAGTGTCTTAGCCGCCTTCTGGGAGGTGCAGTTTGTTAAATATGGCAGAGCTGTGAGATGTTTTTATCCTTCTGGAGCGTTTCCTGTCACAGAACCAAACATATCGCGACGTACGTCTGCCACGTCTTAAAACGGAGAGCTCAGCAGACGGAGATCCGGATCCCCGCCTCCTCTCTTCAGTTCATGGTTAGCCTTCGTGTTTCCAGATCTCACTTTCTGTTACTTGCCTTGTTCTACGTTTACATAGGAGATTTTTTAAATGTATAGAGAAAGATTTATTCTGGCAGGATGAAGAGGTGTTGAAGAGCGACGCAATAATGGAGAAACGACGGCACTTAACCAGTCCACAAATCCTCCAGCTGCCTGTGAAAGTCATTAGAAAACCCAACGTGTTGCTGTTCTAGAGGCCCACATAAGTTTGCGTACGGTCATGCAGTACAGTGGGATGAAGGGTTTTTAAAAACAACAATTGGCTGTGCTAGCTTGAATTTACAGAGAGTTTTCAATGTCGTCTACGTTGGCAGATGGATAGTTTCCTGGCAAAAACTGCATTGAAGCAGGTCAGGGACAGAGGTTTGACTTGTTTGTACATCAGTCAGCTCTATCCAGTCATCTGATCTGAACACTCGGTTGTATCCAAGTTGAGCCAAATCTTCACCATCTTGTGGAAGGAAATCGGCCAGAATGTTGAAGAACAACCCAACGAGGCCCAGGCATCCGCGCCTCCGTCCACAGTGATGTTAGTTTGATATCGGTGGCCATTGACGATGAAAGCAGCCACAGATACACTCAGATAAGTCGCAGGTTGAGGTGAAACGTATTTGGTGGACTCAAAGGCTTGAACATCAGCTCAACAGTGTCTTCCTCGAAACATGGACACGTCGACCCTAATCTGTGCTTAAAGCTGCAGTATATGTACCGATTTATTTTTAAAAATGTTTTTTTACGTATTTGTTTGAACTTTCGTAATGTTGTGAGAGTATAACACAAGACGGATAATCCACCTCCTCCGACTATTTCTACAGCCAGCTGCAGAAATACACAAGGCAGTCAGAAACAACCAATCAGAGCCAAGAGGAGAGTCTTAGCACTGTCAGTCAAGCTCATGTATGTGCTGCTTATGTCCTTCCCTACTGCTCTCTGCTAAACTACAGCAAATTCCCCTCAACATAGCCTGCCATAAATGCTAAGGCTAGTTAGCATGGCTACCGTGACACATAAATAGTTTTCCAGGAACAGTAAGGTATTTGCTGCACACTGAGCAGCAAATAGACGAGGTTGATTGACAGCGCTGGTTGTTTTCAACCAGGAACTGTTCAATTTGCAGATGGCTATAAGAGCTTCTGTTTTATTTTTTATTATTTTTTATTTATTTATTAAGATGATCTGTCTCATATTATATTGTTACAGTATGGTGATAGAATTAGCAAATACATATATATTTATATGTAATATAAAAAACCCAAAATATTTTCTATAAATTTGCATACTGCTGCTTTCATTTCCTGTGAAAATCACAAATCCAACCAGAATTATGCCAGAATATCATTTGCTACAAATGCATGTAGTTCAGGTGCAGCTTTCTTTGTGACCATTAACCAAATATTTTTCTCCCAACAATACTGTAAATTCAAACTTCTGCACTCTTGTTTTTAAAAACTCACTGAAGTTGGATGTTGAATCAAAAGCTAAAAAGCATAAAAATCAAAACATTCATGCCGATGGCCGTATGTAAACTTCTGACCTGAACTGGACTCGCTCCTCTTTTTGCCACCTCAGAACTTGTGTTGCTGTTGAGTCGTGAGCCCAAACAAAGTGAACCGATGTGGTTGGTGTGTGTGCTTCAGTGGTTTTCAGCTCTGTACCGTGTTGCACCCATCTGTCTTTAAAACAAAAAAGAAATAGAAGCAATACTCAGCTCCTTAATGTTACTCATTCACAGAGTGATGTTGTTTGTGTTAAACCAGGTGACTGTGTCTGTAAAAGACGCTGGACTTTCGCTGTCAGGGTACTGTGCTCCACCTGATTCCTGAAACATGCTGTATGTTACATGTGCAATGTCCTGAACTGAAGTCATGCAGTTTTTTTTTTGTTTTGTTTTGTTTTTTAAATCTCCTTCAGATGTTTAACTTATTCCAGTGCTGTAAAACTCCATAAAACTGCCTGTATATGTGACCGGTGTAGATCCCGTGTTCAGAATCACACGTCACTGCTGTTTCCTCCAACAACAAGAACCAGGATCACATTGTAAAGTAGCATGAACCTGAAAAATGTTGGACCTGAATTAAAATGCCTTACTACTGCACTGAGGCGTATGACTTTCATCCGTCTGTGGCTCCTCCACTTGTTTAATAAGTAATTGTGCTTCAGACAGGTTTGCTTTGTCCGTGTCTGTCGTTGGGGTAGCTGTGGGGACTCGTGCCCGGTGGTATCGGCGTCCCACTGCTCCGCAGGCGGAACGGTAAGTTCAGAAAACGCAGCGCTTCTGAATAACCAAACTGGAGGAAATCAGATTTTCAGATTGCTACATTAAATTACAGCCAGACTGCGGGAGTAAAATCTACATTTCTAAAGTGGATCGGCTTTTGGCTCACTGGAGTGAATTTATATTCGCCTAACTTCATTATGCGATCTTCTTTGCATACTTTGTGATGGCTGTGTTCTCCCTGACACTTTCCAATAAAAAAAAGATGTGATTTCCTTTTGCTACCGCTGCGTCTCTCATCTTATTCATCCCACACTTTTTTTGATTCACTTCAATGAGGCTGGTATCGCTCAGAAAATTACGTTTTTATTCATCTGCAAACCTGGAACTACTGATGTCTGTTCATGAGGATTTTTTTTAAGAGCAAAGGAAGCGTAGCCCTCTTTCGGTTTAAGGTTTCTCTTAAAACATCAAAATAGGATATTTGTACGTCTAAGGGATGATTAGGGTCGCAGAGGCTCCGTCGCAGCTCTTGAGGCCTGGACTTGGACTGAGCCATTGCAACATATTTTATTTTCCAGCCTTAGGTGCTGTTTTAAGGGTCAGAGTCCAGAACTCACTTTAAGCCCATCAGCTAACAAATGATAGCTGTCTGTCACTTTTGACATCTAAAACACAATTACTACAATCAGTCTATAGGTGCCAAAACAAACCCACATCATAATCATTAGTGCACCACTATCATTTCTTGGTTCATTTCCAAGGTTATGTATATCTGGAAATTAAAACATTCTGAGTTGTAGTTACAAGTAGCGAAAACTTGTACTTAAAATAAGCCGTTTATCATTTTTACTGCTTTCAAAAAATGGAAGCTCTGTTAAATACAACAGGGAGCGTCTACACAAATGCTTCATTTGTGTATTTCAATGGAAATCTTAATTTGTCCAGGGTTTTTCTTTTGTAGTGGAGCTGGGTTAAGACAAAAAGACAGAGAACCGTAAAACATTCTCCAGGATAATGGCGGAACCTTCCAGCATACGTCAGCGTTGTGGCGCGCAATGCCTTCATATCTCACTTGCACCGAGTGACAGCATGCTAACTACTGTTAGCAGTACAAGCTAACGACATAGCGACAGAACAAAGCACGGAGTTCCTCTCTGCCCTCGACCATTAGATTAAAGCTGGTTCAAATTGTCAATTATGGAGTTTATTGTGCCGGGCAGAACTAACCGTGGCTGTAGGGTCTTAAGGTGGGGACGAGGTACCTCCACCGGGCTCCTCTTTCATCCTCCAGGCTAATTTGGCCGCTGGTCTTTGCGCCACCTGCCATGAGCCAAGTTGAGATAACCATTTTCCCGTGGATTTCCCCGGGGAGACGCAGCAGTGGGAGGCCTCTGTAATAATGGCCGGCTGCTCTCCAGGGTCGGCACATTATCGCACTGACAGGCGATCATGACAAAGTAGAAATACACCAATACTGGAGAAGAATACTATAAAAAAAAACAGACAGGCAAAAGTAAAATTACAAGATTTAGTGGTTTTATTCACATATACAGTACAAACATTCACTTTTTATGTTACTGAAGTGCAATTTACAGACCTTAGCAGCAATTCCTCTTATACCTCAATTTACATAGTTGGACATTTTTAGATTCCTTTCTCATCATCATTTGTACATTTGTTTTTACATATATACACTCAAACAGTTTTCAGACAAACATGTTTTATCTCAAAAATAAATTTGTGAAACTCTGTGTTTGCTAACATTAGGGAGCGTGATAGTAATGAATGTCACATTTGCCCAAAAAACAAGATTTGTACCTATACTTTCATATTGATCCGACAGACAGTACTTGCATAAAATCCATTCCACAGTAGAGTTTTTTGTGTCTGAATTAAAGTAGTGGCTGGAGATATGTGTCCCCTTCTTTTTGCTCTTAGCTGAATCTTTCTCCAGTTGGTTCTGTTTTTTCCAAGTTCAAAGTTGGCCAAATTCAGCTACTTTTAAATCACAGGAAGGTTTGCAAACTTCTAGCTTTTATTGGGGAGGAAGTGCAGCTTATGAGTGATTCTATAATTGGAGATACATTTGGCACTTCAAGAAATGACAAAAAAAAACAACTTTTCATTTCTTAAAAAGTTTCTTAGTCTATTGAAAAGGCATTAAACTTTAATAAAAATGTGTAATTGCCAAACATTAGCTACATATTTTATAATTTTTTCTCAGAAAAAACATATGTTTTGCGGTATGTTATGTCAACTCTGTTACGGACAATATAGACAGTGAGTGAAAAAAACAAATTCTAGCAGACTAAAATATTTTTATTCCATTACACCAAGTGTCCTACTACCCCAATACTTTAAATTGAGATGTTTTACTTAAAAATACATTTTAAAAAATCAAAAGATACTCATAGGGTCAAACGTTTTTCATTAAAACTCATTGAAAACCATCATTCTTTTAGAAATAAAATTGGTCAGTAATACTAAATCACAGCAGAAGTCAACCAACAATGTATATGGTGCTCTGGACAACAGTTTTCCCTTTTTTTTGTGTGAAAGTATGTCATAAACATGTCAACTCTGTTACCTAACAGAGTTGGTGTTAGTAACAGAATTGACAGGACCATAATAATTTAGAACTGAAAACTCTGTTACTGTCAACTCTGTTACCCTATTTGGTAACAGAGTTGATGGTAACAGAATTGACAATTTCAAACATTTTTATTAAAAACTCCACTTGTGAGTAGAAATTCTGAAAAAACATGACACCACTGAGACAATGGTTTAAAAACCATTAAATAAACTTGCCTCTGATCAAAAATCTGTTGTATTTTTCTCACGATACTTTGGTAACAAGATTGACGTTGAAAACAATAACCCCTGGTGATTTTTAGACTAACATATTTCCCAGAGAATGGCACATAGACCTCTGTGTGTTTGAGGTCTTATCAGTAAAAGTAAGTGACTTAATTTTACGGAGTTTATATAGCCGTAGAAGGCAATTTCACAGATTTACAGGGAAAAAACCATATGGCAACAGAGTTACCAAAAATTCTCGGACACACATTTTTTTGAAAATAAAGGTATTTATAAGGGTATTTTGAGTTAATTTAATGTGATGTTATTAAATTGACAATTTAGGCAGTTTAAAAAAGATAGAAAAAACAAATTCACCAAAGAATAATAAAACATAGGTTTTTGCATCATTTTTCAGGTTAATAAAAAAGACAGTACCCAACTCGGACAACAAGTAGTCTTAGTTTTTCAGGTATATAAAACAATTTTAAATGTATTTACTTAAATGTTTTTACTTGTTAAATATTATGATCCATTAAAATGAGTAATAAATTACTAAAACATTTAAAAATTGAAATATTTTAATATACCAGACCAAAAATAATGACTCTGGACATCAAATGTATCTGCAATTATAGAATCACTCTTATGTTCAACTCTTTAAAAAAAAAAAAAAGTCAAATATGAATGTAACAAATATTTTAAGCATTACAGAGACAGAATGACTCTGCACACCAACTCACTTAACCAAGTGTCAGTTCAAGTCAAAACCAGAGTGATTGCTAACTGCTCTGGTTCATGCTAATTACTGTTAGCAGTACAAGCTAATGATGATTATCTTTCCTTGCTGTTCTTCCATAAAGGCCATACTATTGAATTTGATTTGATTTAGGAGCTTTAGAATAAGAAGTGGATGTAAACAAATGCATGTCGTCTTTTTCACATTTTTATCTGTAAAAAGGTTAAAACATGTAATATTTTGATTTCATAATTTTGTGTTGCTGCGTCTCACGTAACACCCCTGAAAATCACCTGAAAATTATTTGTGATTATTACATTACATAATAATGTAAAAAAATTCAAAATGAAATAAGTAGCGATATGCCACTGTGTAAGACGCATTATTTGTAATTTTGCAGCTTCATCACAATACATTATAATTTCCCTTTGGGATCAATAAAGTATTGTTCGAGTTTGAAGAGCATACAGGTTCTACTGTTAGTGTGACTTAATCTGATCACGCCACACCCGGTCAGTCCAGCCCAAACAGATTAGATTCAAGTCTTGCTATGAATTTTATAAAAATATATAGGCCTATTACTAAATCCCAATTTCATTGCTACAATAACTACTGTTTATTAAAATAAGTCTCTCTTGAATCTCAGTGAATGAAGGTAAAAATAATAATGAAACGCGAGTCAAACCGGTGAACATTTCCCGACATAAGGTAGTTTTTGGTGTAAATCACTGTCATCTCAACTGTCACACAGTCCCAGTGAAACCACCAGGTCCAAACAGGGTGCAGTACTCAGAGAAACCACAAGATGTCACTGTCACTGCTCGGATCTCGCTGCCTCTCCTGCTGCTGCGGCGGTCTGAGTGCTTCAGCTCTATTATTTATAGAGAACGCTGACAGAACAGTACAGTCATGATCATAATGAATAGAAAGACATCACAGTGATACACAGACAAAATATGCAAAGACGAAATGCATTAAGGTGATAATTTACATGGGGTGGATGGTGACCTATCGGTGTTAGACCTCAGATCTGACGATGATGGGAGCTGAAAGCAAAGGGGGGGGAAAAATTCACTAATAGTTGTTATCAGACTGAGGGGAAGAAAAAGTGAGTAAATGAGTAAATGAATGTTGCTACTGAGCTTTTGTTAAGACCAAGGAAAAACCAGCAGGTGAAAAATTACAAAGAAGAAACTCTCCGGTCCGTCTCCTCCGTTCTTAGTCGGGAAGTAATGATCTCATTTATACACCTGGCCTCCTCCAGGGGTGCATTAACCTGTCGCTGTGTCATGTTTAGCTCCCCCCAGAGGGAGGAAGAGGCCACAGGACAGCTAAAAGGGTGAATTAAGAGAAGGAGGATGGAGGTAGTAATAAAAGAGGAGAAGGTGAACCACCCTGTCCTTCTCTTTCCTCCCTCCCTCCGTCTCCATCACCCGTCACCCTGACAGGGCCGGTAATTGGACGTGGACCCTCTTTTTTTTTTTTTCCCCTCCCTTCCCCTTTCTCAGCCTGTCTCGTTCTCTCTCTCTCCCCTGTGGCTTCGCTCCTCAGCGGGAGCCTCAGGGCCCGGAAATAGCTGATGACAAGATAGCGGCTGCCTTTCATTCTGCTCAAGGTTACCCCAACCCCCTTTTTCCTTGACAGCCATGGACAGGAATGGAGGGGGAGGTAGAGGGGTGCATTTAGATGGGTGTTTGCTTAAACTTGTGTTTGTGTTCAAAGGAGAAAAAAAAAAAAAAAAAAAAACTCCAGCTTTTCAACTGTAGTTTTCCTCCATGACCTTCTGCTGGTGGCTTCAGTGACGGGATGAAAGGGCGACGCGAAACAGAATGAGACCGCGGTCACATACAGGGGTTCGTAATCTTGGGTTTGGAGGGTGCACTTCCTGGTGTGAAGCTGTGGGAGGCGTCATCTTACCCTAAAAAAATAAAGGTCATACACACACCCACACACACACCCGTTGTTGCTCAGATGGACAGCAGGAACTGCTCCTGCTCTGGTGGCTTCTTCACCCAGGTACCCAGGCCCGTCTCCTGCAGAGACTTGAACCACTGCTGCTTCGCGATCTGGTAAGGACGCGCCGCCATCTTGGCCTCGCCGTACATGGGCTGATGGTCCGTTGTTAAACTGGAGACATGGACCCCCAGCTGAAAGAGATAAGAAGCACATGGGAGGCAGGCGTAAGTGTAAAGATACCTGAAGTGTTCAGCTAGTTAGCATGACCACTGACCAATCAAGTTTATTTGTGTAGCTCATTTCAGCAACATAGCAGTTCAAAGCAGGATATTTCTCTTCTGAGAAACCGGGATATTCCTAAACAGCTCTACACTCTGCAGCTGACGAGGAGAACCGGGTCAGACTAGCGTCCACCCAGTGAGTCCAATCTGTGGGAAAACCTCGTAATGTTCTACAAACTGAGATCACTGCTTATTGAGCCCAGAGCTCCCATTCTGTCTACATGTTCATTGGTTAATTGGTTGGGGTCGTTAGGCTTTCAGCAGGACAACAACTCTGATTAGCTTAGATCTATACACGCACACACACACACATATATATATATATATATATATATATATATACACACACACAAACACACGTGTGTGTTGCAATGGCCCAGTCAAAGTCCAGACCTAGGTCTAATCGACTGTATTCCCCTTAGTCAGTACTTTCTACAACCACCTTTCCATGCAAATATATGCCACACCTTTCATATTTTAACCTAAAGTTCAATAATGATGTGTTTTTGTACATAATGTGGCCCTTTAAGTTGCTCCATTATATAAAAATCTAAATAAAAACTTACAGTTGTTGTAATGCGATGCTGGGCTCTGTACAGTCAGGACAAAAAGGTGCAGAAGGTTTAATCAGGGCGGTGTGTGGGTGGTGGTGTGGGTGGGGGGGGAAGGGGCGAGCAAAACAAAACGAATGAGCCGGCACAAATGCATTTGGGTGGCTATAGGAGGGGGTGGATGTGTGTGTGGGGTGGGGGGCTTCAACAGCTGTGTAATCTCCCCATTTAAATTTCACAAGCAATTGCACATTCTCTGTGCTTTTTTGTGCATTCGAACTGTCGCGGGGGGCGGCGGGGGACCGGGTGGGGCGCGGGAGGGTGAAGATCGGCGGAGAGACAAGCGGGGAGAGGGAGGACAAGGAGAGCAAAAGTTTCTTTTGGAGATTAGTGTGACTGCTCTAGCGTGGCCCCGTATGCGCGGCGTGCGGGGAGCACTTAGAGGGGGTGGGGGACAGGGGGGAGGCTCCTCCAGAACTCCTCCAAATAATTATGGTTTCATAGTCATTATGCTTTAACGGCTCGCCATTTGCCGACGCAGGCGGTGTCTGTTACATAAAGTTTCGGGATGGAAATGAAAGTGCGGGCGGGTGAAGATCCGAGCTGCCAGATTCTGATAAGCTGCGCAGACGGCAGATGTTGCCAAGACGACAAAATTTATCTGTAGCAGAGAGGAAAATCCACATTTTCTCGGCACGGCGCGGGCTGTAATTTGGAATTTAATACACACGTGTTGCTTTTGATTGTTGGAAAGCGTCTCAGTAGTTAATGTTTCTGGGTTTCTGGATTTCTGGCTGGAAGCTGGAGAATTTCAGCCGACGGCTTGTTTACTTGCAGGCTGTTTAAGCTAACAGACGAACTGCCCTTGAACGTTCAAGATTAGGAATGGAGACGCAAACGTTTAACCTCTTCAAAAAGGTCATCAAGTTCACATCAAACTAAACTGATAACTAAAGTCTTTTTAAACCAGTGGGACTTTGTTCCGAGTAGAAATGTCTTCATATTGTTCAGTCTGTATCTGGTTTTAATCCTGTACTCCAAACAGAGTTTCTTTAGGTTTCATCAAGCCAAGTTTCAGACTTTTTAAGACCATTATGTATAAACCCCCCCTCCCCCCCAATTTTCTGTTTCATTGCAACAGAAAACAATAAAAGACTATAAATTAGCAATAGATTTGCACTTACCAATGATAGACAAAAAAAAATAGCTAGCTAGCTCCTAAGGATATATTAGCAGTTAGTTAGCAGTAGCCTCAATCGCTTGGAGTCAGAGTGAAGATGTGAATTCATGATTCATGGATAGCTGCAGGAATCCACGGTTCTGGTGAGGGAATCTGTTGCCAGGACAACTAGTTTAATAAACTCTACAACAGTCCCCCTCATGGAAGAGTGGAAAGAAAGAAGTAATTGTTCAAAGCAAGTCACGAGATGACTGAGAAAACCATTACCTCACATCCTCATGGTGAAATACGGCAGCATCATGCCACCACCATCACTTGATGGGAGGATGAGTGGAAAACTGGCTTCAAAAGACTTGAGTCTTGGGTGGAGGCTGATTATGATAGATCGATTATGATCCTACATGTAAAGCCGGAGCTGCAATAGAAGCTCTGGACTTACAGAAGCTGCTTAATGTGCTAGAATGGCCCAGTCAAAGTCTGGACAGAAAGCAATTCAACTCTGTTTGAGCCATTTCAGAGCTGGTAGAGACACAGAAGCCTAACTTCAGGTAAAGTTTATTCAAACCTGGAGGATACTTTCAGATTTTTATGGTGATTAAAGTTTATTAGAATAAACTTGACTATTTACAGGTTGAAATGTTTACAAAATAATAATTTACAGGTTAAAAACTTTCATGGTTAAGGATTTTAAATAGAGAATACTAAGGTCCTCTCTGGTAAATTTGTATATTAAATCAGGAGGGTGATTGGCAGCGTTAAGACACGCCCCCCGGCTCTGATTGGCTGTTTCTGACTGAGCGATGGCAGTAAGACCGCAGAACTCTATTTTTACAGATTATATGTCTGATGTTATGCAGCCATGAGACCAAATTACCAAAATGTAAAAAAAAGTATTGTTTGTAAAAAAGACATACATATAAGCAAGTTATAAACATAAAATATTGTAATCTTAAACTGTGTTTTAATCAGCTGAAAGAAAATAAATCCAGATTGCTGGATTAAGGAACTGTTCAATAAAATTCTAATTTATTGAATGAGTCTGTACACTGAAGTATGAATATTGTTACAAAACTCTAAAAATGTATCCATAACCAGCCGAACATGAACAGCCTCTGGTAGGAATTCAACCCCTACAGTCTGTGGATGTACTTTCTGAAATCATTTCATGTCATCCGTTTCTTTGTCCAGATGAAACCACAGATTTAGCTTAGCAAGCATCTCACTGTGCTAACTGAGGCATACAGGACAGCAGCTGAGCTGCTGCTGATGTGTGTGAAAGGATAAACAGGAAACTTGGTACGAAATTTTTTGAACATTGGAGAAGTTTAAAGCTACGACTCCTCCTGCAAGGCACGGTGCGTTCTGTGTTTCTTTGGACGCAGCTTTAAACTAGTTTCCTCTAAACTTTAGTTCTCAATGTTCTGTCGAACTCAAAATGAGCAACTCAAAGCCCTTCAGCAGGTCCTGAGGGGAGTTTGAGGATGTTCACTGCAGAAACAAAATCTTAAAGTATTTTTTGTCTTGTTTCTTGTGCAAATATTATAGTACACTTGAAACAAAACTGAATTAATTTACAAGTAACTTTTTAGCAAGATATAGGGAATTGTTTTAAGTCAGTAGTACAATAACAGTTTAACTGGAAGATTATTTCACTTATAACAAGATAATTTTAAAATGTTATAAATTAAATCATCTCTCATTGTAAGTAATAAAACAAAAAACCTCAGAAGAAGAAACTTCTTTCTTCATAAAATGTGAAGAAAAATGGAGGTTTCAGATCTTGGCGGTTGTAATATTTCTATTTTGTTGTTGCTAAAAAGACCATGAGCAATTTCTCCAACTCGTGGTTGTTGTGGTTGTGTTTACCCAGAATACCCTGCACCATAGTTAGCTCCAGTCCGGTTAGCAGTCATGAAAGCATTCGAACTGCATCAGCGTTCACTTCAACCGAACACAGATCCAGCTTTGTTTGTAGACAAACCAGAATGTGCGCTTTTTGGTCCACATCAGAGTAAATTAAAGCGAAGCATCCCGTCTGCTGGCCTGCTGTCTTGAAGGTGATCCCTCACCTTTCGATACAGTCGATTCCAGCGGGTGAACAGGGCGTGCTTGCAGATGCGTGATGGCGTCCCTGAATCCCGTCGACGTCCCGTCGCCGTGTTGACCACCTCCGGCTGCGCGTCGCCCAGGGTCCAGTTGATGCTCACGCATGTGGCCTTCCCCTGCTGCTGGAACTCAATGTTGCTCAGCCCTGTGGGGATAAAAAAACTTTAATAAGAAGACTTGACTGTCATGACCTGACATATGATCCATATGTGTATTTACCGTGGGAAAACATCCACGAAAAAAAAGAAAATAGAAACTTCCAAGTCAAATTTAGCAGCCGCTCAAACCTCCACTCTGTTGTTCGGTTTAACCTTCCTCCACCTTGCTTCTCTCTGCCTGAGGCTAACGGCTCATGTTAAGTTTTGCAGCACTGCAAAAAGTGGACCCGAGTGTTAAACGGTGTGGCTGTTACCGTGGAGCTTTGATACACCCCCAGAGAGAGAGAAAAGGTTGGGGGAAAAAAAAAGAAAAAAGGAGGGAGGGCTATCAATCAAGTCCTCCATGTGTTCTTGCCTTTGGAAGACAGCTTGTCTGCTCTCGTGTTGCTGCAGATATGCTGGCTCTGCTGTAAATATTAGCTCCATTCAGAAATATCAGCTGCTACACCTACACTGGACCATCACCGGGTTCTCTGAAATAATTAATCTCTCCAGCAAAGCACAGGCAGAGAACAGGAGGGAACGAGCTTCCAGCCAAGAGAAGGAGCAACAGATCTGAAATCTATTCATTAGTTTTAATTACTATGCAGGTATTTCATTTCCAAGTAAAAACTAAAAACAACATTCTGGAGATGTATAGAAGATGTACAACACATGCAAATTAAGTCCATTTTCAGTACCTAGCTCCAAGCAAATAGAGTTCTGCGTTGACATATGGCAGCTTGTGGGCTGGATGAAACATGGCCGACTACTAACAAGAAACAAAACCGGTCGCCTCGCCAAGAGAGGGAAAATAGGACAGATTAATGTTCCAGAGATTTGTTCCTCCTTCCTTTTAGCTGAGCGTGTTGTAAGGCTGTAACTCAGAGCCGACGGCTAAAGTATTATTTTTCTTGTTCATACTAAATAATTTGGTTGTTCTGTCAAGAGCTAAGTCAAGATAAATCAAAGTTAATGTGGTAGCTAGAGATAGCTGAAATGTATATCAAACTATTATAACTTTTATTGTGTTTTATAGGAGAATATGTTATTTTGTTTATGCCAAAATTATTTTCTGATTCAGGAGGAGAAGAATCTCAGACTGTCTCTCCACAGACAGACTGACCATCAGACCCAGATCAGGGTTTCTGCAGGTTTCACCAACTCCAATTTAAGACTTTTAAAACCTTCCTAAGATGGTAATGAGAGATTTCCTTACATTAACATGCTTTATTCAGTCATTGCCTGTTGCATGACTGACCATGATGGCCTCAAAACAAAGTTAGCACTAGCTAGTGAGGTGTATTAGCAGCTAGTCACCAAAAGCCGAAACCACCTTAAGTAACAGAATGCAATGAACTCTAGAGAGGCAGAAGTGTGCGATTTAAACTTTTGCCTAACAGAAAAATAAATATAGCCTAGGACAATACACTAGATTAAATAATCACGTCTTAAATTTTGTCATAGCAGGACAAACATATTTAAGGCCAACTTACATTTCTTTAAATGAATCCAAGACATTTTAAGGCCTTCATTTTGAATACATTAAGACATTCTCTGGATGTTTTCTGAATAACATCTTGACTGCTTCTTTCCTTTCTCCTACGGCAAACGAGTGAGAGAGAAAGAAAAAAAACCCCGAGAGAATACCAGAAATATGCTCTCCCACAATCCCTCGCAGCATCAACATTAGACGCTCGGCGCCTTGTGGCCTTTCACATTATGCCCGTCCATGTACCGTCTTTACAAAGGGACAGCTGTGAGGATTTCAGTTTGATTTCCAACCCAGTTATTTATTGTAACACGCTGTGTTAAGGTGGACCTTTTTCCGCAGCCGGTTTCTTTAACGGCTTGGCAACAAATGCCTCTGATCTCATCATCTGACAGGCGGCTTGTTATAACACAAAACCGGAACTACAATGCCTCAGCACACGCCTGCGGATCATCCTCCCCCCATTCCCCATTTCCACGCTCGTCTTCCATTCACCGGCCTCACCTCTTCTTTTTCCTCCGCTCCACGGAGCTGGATGAATCACCTGCCACAGGAACAATCCTCAGAGTCTCTTATTACCCATCGTTCTCCTCTCTTGTGCAGATGCACCTCTTTGAACAAAAGAGCCCCCTATCCATCGTGCCTTCTTGCCTTCCCTCTCGCTCCATTCACGGCTCATTTCATCCATTCAATGGCCTTCACTCCTGTGTTTCTGTAATAGCCAATTTGATTTTTCCCTTCAATGAAGACTTGATCAATGTCTCCACTGGGAGGATGCTTGGCAGAGTGAGAGAAGCTCAATGGGAGCATCTGCATATAGGATTTTTTTTTTTTTTTTAAACCGTGCAGGTGGCTTCATATTTGATACTACAGGTAGCAGCTTGGTGTGTTTGAAGCAACAGGTTTGATAGAAACTGTAGATTTTCAATGAGTATGTTAAGATCCAGGTAAGGAATAAGAATTTTTCTCAAGGTGATAAAGTTAAAGGGCCACTACACGCCTTCAGGGAAACACCGGGAGCAGCGGAAACTTGAATTTTTTTTTCTGATTGATTGTTTGAAGCGGACTTTGATGGAGGCTTCGCCCTTTAATGAAAGTAAAAAGAAAAGCAAAAATCCATGTAGCCTCTGTGCTGCTACTTAGATGACATTAGAATTTAATGAGTAATTGATTTTAAGCGATGTTTTCATTTCCTCCTAAAGCGAGAAAGTTCAAAAGTCTTCTGATGTTTTCCCCCAATAAGCCCCGTTTTCTATCAAAACGTACTAAAGCGAATCCAGCTCCAACAATCTGAATCAAACATTAATAACTGAATAATCGTTAATAATGCTGCTGCTTTGGTTCCCTTTATTCTAAAAAAAAAAAAACAACAACAACAAAGTCCCGGTTTGTGTGTGTTGAACAGTCAAGGACAAGCCGGTCGGTCTATCGATGTGTTTGGGAGTTTAGCCCTCGGGGTTCAGGTGGAGCTGCTTTGGCTGTTTGCGATAAGAGCGGCCCTGGCGATCTCCTGGACGTTCCTCTGGGGGCCGTGCTTTTAAATAAAGCAGGGGGAGGGAGTGGACTCATCAGAGTCAATGTTTCATCAGAGTCAGCGTTGGGGTGACGGAGGAGAGCAGAGGAAGGTTGAGGTGTGTGGACATCTGAATGCAAGCAAACAGCCGTCTTCCCTTCTTTTCCGTCCTCCCACCTGTCGCTGTCCGGGGCTCCCTTCAGATTGAATGGCTGACTGATAAGAGGTCTGATTGCATCGATTTGGTGTAGGCCCGTCTCCCCTGTCTGTCCATCTCCTTCCCTTCCCTCACCCTTGTGCTCTTCAATAGGCTTTTGCCACTCAAAGCACAGGAGGTGCGGAGATCTGACAGATCCAGACACAAGGAGAACAGAATCGTTTTAAGACGTGTCAAACGGGGAGAGGACCCAACGAAACAGCAGCACTTCCCAAAGAGGCTAACACAAACCTTGTACACGATGTATAAAAAAAAAACGTTCGTCTCATTTTTATTACCCACTTGTATTAATTTGCCTTCATTAGGTTTTCTTTAACTTTTCTTAGGCGACTAGGTTAAATTCACACTATCGATTGAGAAACGTCTATTCTCTTCCTTTCAAGTAAAGACGGCCGATACAGGTATAGATGGGGAAAGGGAACAGTAGAGCTCGCTTCTTATTCATACAGAGTCTGACATGATTTAAAGTGTTTCCCTGTTTGCGACTCTCGCTGCCTTTGTTCTTATCAATGATCCCCCAGAAACCAAATGTTGCCCTACATCTCTCTGCTCGTCTGCCACGCCACCTCGCCGACTGGCCTAGATCTGAAGTGATGGCTGACGCCGTCGCTACAAGTTGGGTGTCATTCAGATCCTCTGCCAGCATTCATCTTTCCCACAAACAGAAGCCTCGGGTCTCGGCGGAGCCCGGGACGCTGACTTGCCAGATGACATCTAAGCTGTTGCTTTTCAGGCTTGGAACAATGACAGTGCGGAGCGGCAGTGAAACACGAGTTTGTGAAGCGTTTGTGGGTCGGGTGTAAGAAATGATCTGATGTGGTGCGCTTGCCTTGAAGATGAGTCATACTTTTCGTGAAGATTCTTGTATACATGTCAGAATCTTCAGGCTGGGAGCAGGAAGCTGATGATAGTTTATTAAGACAGAATATTGTGGATCTGAGCAGGTGCTGAATTATAAAGGTTGTGCTTGACAACTATTATGTTACACTGAGCCGCCATGCGCCAAAAGCAATGTTTAGTCTATTCAGGTGTATTTCTTATTAAAAAGGTGATAAAAAGGGATTATTGGGAAATATATTTGTAGTAATAGACTAAATGTTTTTGTTGTGCTGAACCGATGAAATAACCATCTTGAAGCAGCCATATACTGCTAATAAAATTAGCATTCAGGTGACAAACTACCAAAGTGATACCTAGCTAGCTACGTCAATGACAGATCAGTCTTTACATACTAGTATCAGTGACAGTCTAGATTTCCAAAAAAAAAAAAAAAAACCTTCAATGCAACATCTTTGGTTTTGTTGAATAAGTAACTAATGATACGATTACAGACTCTTTAAATCACTGTTGGTGCTCTGAAGCCCCCGTGCTCCTCAGTCCCACCCAGTTACCACATTAGCATGTTCCAGTAGTAGCTTGGTCTGAGAACAATGAGGAGTAACGATCAGAGAAACAAAGCAGCAGATTTTTGTTTTGGATTTCTTTCTCCACTTTGTCATTAGCACACCATGGTGGCATAAATATTGAGAAACAACAGAAGTGTTCAAGTCACATGATCAAACTTTAGTTTCCTGTTACAGGCATTTTGGGTTGTTTTTAGCTTGCATATCTAATGTTTTTAAAAAAATAAGGCAGAAAATCAATGTTTCTGGTTTTACATAGCCTGGCTGTTCTATGCTTTGCTTCATACAGATGGAGGAGTGGACTCTGTTAAACTTTCAAACGATTTGATCAGATTGTACCCAATCGCTAATGTTTGGTGGCGACGTATGCAATGCGATGAAGGTTACCAGATATTCCTTTCGCTGTAAACAACCTCATGGGGAGTATAGGACGTGAGATCTTTGCAAGTAGTAAAATGCATCATGCATTTTTCTTGCCAAATCTGAACATTTTGCAAATACAGATGGCTACATCTGTACCTTTGGCACAGATGTAACCATGTAGGGTAGCCGCCTTTTAAACAGAGGTCGAATAATAATTAGCCGTACCACTTAGCAGAGGCTGGCTGCGTCTGTATGTGGCGGGCAGAGGGCCCAGGCGCTCCTGCCGCTGGGTCAGAACTCTGCCCAGATGACCCGTGTGGCGCAGGCTTCCCACAGTGATGCTGTGCAGGTACACCGGCTCCACAAAGTGGCTCAGCAGCGCCCCCTGCAGGCCCAAGACGTTCCACCTGAGAGAAGGAGAAAAGCAAGACGAGGCGTCAGACGAGGAGACAGGACTGAATGACGGAAAACAGACAGACAGCTGTGAGCGCGTCGATGACAGGGAGAGACAATTTGATCATTATCTCGATGTGGGACGTGATGAATCACAGCCACTGGTTGGGCACATAAAAACACACGTCCCCAAACCATCATCGCCAAGAACAACACAGCCAAAGGTCAGTACATCAGCACTCAATACATGGAACAACACATTACCATGTGTGCATTCATCAGTGCCACGGAGGTTAATGCACTGCAGGAGCGCCGCCGTTGATTGCTCTGCGCAAGGGCCAATCACCTTCAGTTTTGTTCAGGAAGCCTCACGCGCGACACGGCTAACTCCACAGCCAGCTGGTCGCGTGCCACCTACCGTGGAAACCCTCTCCCATTTAACCAGCAGATGCTAATTTGAGGATGGAAAATGATAATTACCGTGTTTATTACCATTCCCGCCATTTATCGGGGTAGAGGAGGTCTGCTGTTTTACCTGAGCTCCCAACGTTATGCGGCTAATTTCTTTACATCGTTCTTTTTGTTAATCAATGCCTCCTTTTTTTGTTTCGTGATGCAATTACGGTGCCCCGCTTGTCTTTTTCCCCTCCTCTCCCTCCCCGGCACTCGCCGGCTTAATAATCACTCATTACAGCTGCTTTTGCTTTCCAAGCAGTCAATTAACATCAACGGCTTTCTGGGAAAATCGCTAAGCGGCTGAGAGTCTGCATCCGCTTTACCTGCAATCTGTCGCTAAGATCTGCCTTTCCCTCTCAAAACGGGAAAAAAAAGGAAAAAAAAAAAAGAGGCGCTTTGTTCGAAACGCCAACACATACTCATCCTAAGTGCTCTGATGATGCTAAAAAAAAAGAAAAAAAAAAAGAAGAAGAAGTTTGGGCTGAAATATTAATTCACTCCGAATGCATCACCGTGAATCTGAGACATCTTCTAATCTCATGCAAGAAAAGACAGCCATCTGGCTGGGGAAGAGACCTTCTTCCTCCCCTCTCTGTATCCCCTCCTCTCCCTCCTCCAGTAAATGCCGAGCCATTAAAGTAATGTGTTCATCTGCATAAAACCGCAGTGAAATTGAGAACATCATCGTTATATGAAAGCCATTTAGGCCCCTCAATTAAATCCAGCTGTCACCTTCAAATCAAATATTTGCAAAAGTGTCTTCGCTGGGCACCGCTTAAGAAAACAAAAGCGGCCGAGGCGGCGAGAGCTTGTGTTTCTTTTTTTTTTGGTCGTCGGGGATGTTTACGATGAGCGCGCGGGATCTCTAATGTCCCCTCTGGTCGAAGCTGGAATAACTATAATAAAGTGCGGGAAGTAAAAGGGAGTGAGGAAATAAAATAAAAAGTAATGGGAGGTTGCGCAATGAGCGGGACAGAGGACAAAAAGAGTATCCAAAGGAGGGGGAAAGGGGGGATCACTTCCAGATTGCAGCAGAGAGCCGGAGCGCGCGGCCCTAAGCTGCTCTCAGTTCCGCCCTCCTCGCCTGACCTTGATAAACCGGCCCTCGGTGACCCACTCACTTTAACAGCAACCACTGATCATTTACAGCGATAAAAAAAAAAAAAAAAAAAGAAGAGGAGGAGGAAGCTGCAGAGCAAAGGGAGCATGTCTGCCGTCTTCACCAGGCAGGGAGGAGGGCGAAGGCAGGGATGAAAGGCAGGATGTCCCCTCTGCCTCTCGTCACTCTCTCTGTTTTTTTGTAAAGTAATTGCTTTCACCCTTGTTGGTGACCTGGGTAGATTTAATCACACCGTCCCTTACCCCGGCCAACTAAATCAAATTGGTCAAATTAACAGCAGCGACACAGGAGAGGGGTTCACCTCCACTCCTAACCATCTTCTGCATCATTTTGCTCAGTTTCTCTGCATGGTTCCACCAGTCCTTTCTCACTGTCACACACACACGCCGCTGCAGCTCAGCTGTCGTTCTGTATGGCTCGGTTGGCACAGCGAGATGCTTACGAAGCTAAATTCATGGTTTCAGCTCATGAAGAGGCCACGTCTTGGCAGAGAAACTTAGAAAAAAAAGATTTCAGACAATTCAGAAAAAAAAACAAAACAACCACAGCCTGGCTGTGTAGGCTCCCTGCCGGCGGGGATGCAAACCTTAGCTTTCTAGATGCACTTTTACAATGAGTCGAGAAAGTAATTAAGCCCAGTAAAACTTTTTTGCTTGTCGCATTGCAAAACCACAAACTTCCAAGTATTTCATTGGGACTTTGTTTGGTTTGGCATACTTGAAATGTACAAGAAAAATTGATACCTCATTTTCAAGTTGTTTAACAAATAAAAATCTTTGTGCATCTATGGCAAGAATTGATACCCCTAAATAAAAACCTAGAGCAGCCAGTTCAGAAGTCACCTAATCGATAACGTTGAGTCAAAATAGTTGCATGGATCAAAAGACATTATATGACGAACCTGCACAGCCCATTTCCACACGGTGGTGCCAGAATCATCCTGTGGGTTTGTTTTTCAACAAATTACCAAGATGCTCATTGCAGGTTATGGGACATGCAGTAGATTCATCCCACTCATTTCCCTTAAGCATATTGATTTTGTACCTAATTCAAACAGTCAAGTTTATTTGTTCATTTAATCAACAAGGCAGTTTAAAATGCTTCACATCATAAAAACATAACAGTAAACAGTTGTAAAAGAGGCAATAAACTTTACAATTTGTCAAATGCTATTCTCAAACAAATATACATTAAATATATTGATCGATGTTCTAGTTATAAGTCTAAAGCGACTAAACTGGGTTTTTAACCTTGATTTAAAGGCTCTCAGTGTTTCAGCTGTTTTGCAGTTTTCCGGAAGTTTGTTCCAGATTTGTGGTGCATAGAAGCTGAATGCTGCTTCTCCATGTTTGGTTCTGCTTTTGCAGAGCAGAACCAGAAGACCTGATTGGTCTGGAAGGTTGATGCAACAGCAGCAGATCTTTAATGCATCTTAGTGGCAATCCGTTCAGTGATTAATAAACTAATAAAAGTAAAAGTATTAGTTTGAACAAAGTTGTCAGATTATTGGGGGTTATTATGAATATATCTACTCATGCATCTCTGAATGCATCTTAATTAATCAGTTAGCACCTCTAACTGTGTGTTTCATCACATCAAATATAGACTGTAGCCTCAGAAATGATCAAACTCTGCATATGCGAGTGACTGTAAATGAGCCGTAGTCAATCACTGATGCTTTATTGCAGCTATAAACAATATGCAGCTTGTCCATTTAAAAATGTTACTCATTGTAAGCATTTAAGAAGCGACTAAGCAAAAACAGTCCACAAAAAATTATGTTTGAGTGAGCTACTTGTTAGAATATAGTGGCCAAGTCTTTGACCAGCATGATGGCAAGTAAAGAGTCAACACTACAGATTTAAAGATGACAGCACAGCCACGATTAATGCACTCATCATTAGAATAGGATTACCAAATTCAGACACATATGGGAAATCAATACAAGCACTACCTAGACTAGCATGCTTCCTGGACACATGCGCAGAGAAATGGATTAGGTAAATATCAGACAAGTCTCGGCTCGGCTTTCAGAAAGCCCGTTTTAAAAGGCCTCATTCTGCTAAATCTCTGCTCTTCATGAAGAAGGTAATCTTCTAATAAAGTTAACCTTTCCTCCACTCAGTTTACCTTTCTTTACTTAAGCACACCAGAAATTTCTCGGGTGATTGAATGCTGAAGGTTCTCTTTCTTTATATATATATAGAAATCTGCCCCAGTGAGTAAAAATAATCGCAAATAGAAAATTTGATTTTTATAAAATAAGTTAAAATGGATAGAAGTAAGCAGAGCAGTATTGCACATGCCAATATTACCACTTTTATTTATAAGTAAACTTTTCTCTAGATTCACTGAAAAAAGTGCATACAAAATAGAAATGAGGCCTTAAAACTCAGAAATAAGAATTTCCTGTAGAAGATGTTTTTGTATCTCCTCTGCTGAGCTGAATCAATAGTTAATAAATTGAATTTCATGTTTGAGCTAGAAAACTCATTATCTTTTAATTGCAGAAAAACTAATACTACATTTAATCAGAATTACAGGATAATCATTTGATTGCAGTTGCATTAAACTCTGTGGATTGTGTAGTCCTGTCATCTCCATCCATAGTACATGAGAGTGTGTGTGTGCGGGGTGGGGCGGGGGGCCGAGGCTGTGGACTGTACAGTGTTCTGCTGCATCAGGACAGGTTACGTCACTTTTGTTGTGATTTCAACATCTCATTTTTTTTGTGTTATTCTTTTTTTTATTTTATTTAGGAACAAATGAAAATGTTAGTGTCCTCTCCTGTTCATGTAATTATTAGCTGAATTAATCAGAATAGATCAAGCTTGACTTTAGCTACTCTGAAAGCTAATAATAAGCTTTCAGTTTCAAGGATCTGGAATGCCGAGGTGATTGAATCTTCAGCAGACAGTAAAGATTGAGTTCTAATATCACTGGGTCATCGCCGAGATCTCATTCACGGTTGTACCGATTCTGGAGTAGTGTTACACATGACAGAGTGTGGGAGTTATGGTGCTTATGCAGAAGAATTTTTTGACATGGCCGAAAAGAATGAGCGGCAATCTGGGTAGCCAGTTAGAACTGTATATGCTACAATGGTAAATGCTCAGTAAAATGATAAGTGTTTTTTTTTGTCCTTTTCTGTGAAAAAAAGCTATTCCACATCCTCACTTGAAGTGCACCAAGCCCTTCTGATACAAAAGACATGAAAACTTCACAAAATTTAAACAAAAACGGAATAGCATCAGACTTTAGCAGACGTAGGATTTCTCTTTTGTCTTTGGTAAAAGCACTACACTTGCACATTTGTTTTGGTTTCCTTTACCTATAATGCTCTGTGCCATAGTTCACTTCCTGCTTTTGAAGCGGTCTCCGGTCCACTTGCATTCACATATGTATTCGAGCAGCACCAGAGTTCACTTTGACCAAGCCAAGACAGAGGTTTGTTGGTGGGACAGAGTTTGCTTTGCTGGTCTGCATCAGAGATTGATTACACATTCACATCTCCTCACATGAACCGGAGTTTCTGAGAAAACAAGCTAGAGTTTGATTAAACCGGACTAAACAGGGCTAGTGTGAATGCACCTTAAAAATCTAATGCTTCAGCTGCTCCGTCTTCTGCACCAACAGCATACAAAGCACATGACACAGACAGGAAGCTGCATCAGCCAATATAGTCTCCATTACTTTGCTAGGATCCTTTTAACAAAGGAAAAGAGGAAAGAAAAACCCCCAACCTTCGCAAGATCAACAAAGTAGCGTGCATAGACTATAATACTGTTTTGAAAGCAGTGCAAAAGAGTAGCAGTGAATAAAAAAAATAAATAATGCAGCTGCACAACTCACTGTATGTGCAGCTGACATAAGATCACAGACAGCAGACCTAAAGTAATGAAGTTAGTCAGGGATTCAGATTCTGGTCCTGTTAGATCAGAGCAATGCTACTCAGTCTAAAGCTTTAACCCCAGATGGGTCATGTGACAGCACTGACCTGGTGATCTTGTCTGTGCAGGACATGGTGATGAGCTGCTCCCCCTGTAGAATGCTGTCCCATGTCTGGACGGGCCCTCGGCATCGCAAAGGAACCGTCCCTTCGCCAGACTCGATTTTGGTCCGCAGGTGGCTTCGATGCTTCCTCATAAGGTGTCTGCTGCTGTGTACTTGAAAGGAGGGAAATGAGAACAGGTCTGTTTAAGTAGGCTCTGTCTGAATGGGGGAGGGGGAAAGTTGGTTAATCAAATGGTCTTGTCGTTTTATCTTTGAGATGCAATGTCTCTTCATGGGAGTGTGCAAAGCTAAGGGACCTATTTGGGTTCTTGTACTGTTAGTAAAGGTCCAAAGTACTTGAAAATATAAAAGGAAGAGAACGTTAGTGATGAACTGGTGAGAGTTGCTCATATTTTTGAGGTCCGATCAGTGATCTTTTTATCTGCATCCTTCAGGATTTGCTCTGAAATCATGTACTTTAGTTTTACTTACTAGTTCTTAGATCTGTGACTCAGAAACTACGTCTCTGTGGAAAAAAAAATGTTACTGAAATGTGCGCAAGAGAATTTCTCTTCATGTTTTAATAGCCTCACATTTCTTAGGGCTTAAAGCACAGTTTCTCCCATCGTTTTCCTCTCTTGCTACGTAGCTGTTCCTATGATCCGACAGAGACTAAAAATTAAGCCGGTAGCTTCCGGCTCTGAAATGTTTTAAGAACAGTTGGTCAAAGGTGTCCTGAAATTTCATAATCTCTGTGAGCACACTGCAGAACATTTATGAGGTTTAATGCCTAATATTTCCAAGGCTTCTCTGATGATGGTAGAGTCTTCACTCTCTCTTTCTCTCTGTACGAGTTTCCTGAATATTTCTCCATGTGGAGGATACTAACGGGGTCGGTCGCAGCTATGTGTGAGGAAAGATGAAAAACAGTCAAGATAATGTTTCTAAATTTGCAGAACAAACCAAAATTATAGGGATGTACAATATTATCAACATAGTGTCTGTATTGGCTGACACTAGCTGTAAAATTTAATATTGGACATTCCATCAAAGAAACTCACCGATATAAAAAGGTGATTTTTTATGACAAACCAGTGACAATGAGGCCTGCAGCACAACATTTGCATGGTTTGAGTGTTGTCATTGTCTTAGAGAAAGCAAATGTCATGAATAAACTCGGCATTAAACATAATGCAAGTTGAAAGTGTTGCATCATTTTCAGCCTTTAGCATTTGGTAGCAGGCTAAATTGTCAAAGATAATGTAGCATTTTAAATCCACAGTAGAGAAAACCATATAGTTTCAGTGAATAGGTACAGGAAAAAAAAAAAAATATCGGTATTGGTATCGGTTATTGGCCAAATGAGTTTTAGTATATTGGCATATCGGATATCAACCAAAAATCCAATATTGTGCATCCCTACAAAGTTATCTTAATGAATTAACAATTCATGTTCAGTAAATAAGACAAGAATAAGCTTTTATCTTTCATACTATGGTGTAATGAATGAATGAATGTCTTCTTACGATCGCTTGTAATTTCATAAGGCGAGTTTAGCCTCCCGTCCCCACATGGCGAAGTGCTGATGTACATGTGGAAGTGGACGTTGTCTCTCAACCTGTAGCACTGCTCTTTGTGGCGGACGAATATCGACTCCTCCCAGTCCTCCAGCCTTTTACTTCAGGAACAAAAAAAAAAAAAAAAAAAAAAAAAAAAGAGAATGAGAAAAGCAATAATAGTGAGGAAGACTGATGAGAAAGGTGGCACTATTCATCACAGAATAGGAAATAGATTTCCACTTTTTTCCCCCTCTAAAATGATGAAGAGAAGCAGAGAGAGAGGGATGGACACTGGCTTACAGTCTGACCGCAGCCTATTTCACTCATGTCAAAGTCCTGAACATTACTCAGGTTCACACTGCATACTTTCAAAATCATCACACTGTGATCCATTAGATCAATAATGTATCAAACGTTAAAACCCAACAAAAGGGACAATACTGATTTATAATTGTTCAAATAATCAGTAAGTTTAGTTTCAAAAGTAGCATAGAAGGATTTTTAGTCCTGTAATATCAAAATATTCAATAAAAAAAAGTATTGAAATACCACTATGTTGTGAATGAAACGAGAAAACAGTTGAAATTGATAAATAAAAACATTTAGCATCACAGTTCACCGTCTTTTTTTTGGTAGTGATCACAGATTCCTAAAATTGGGGCTCTGAGGAAACATTTTACTTAGTAATGGGTTTCATCGCTTTATACATTTTCCTTGTTCAGTTTTATTTTACTGTACATAAAGGAATCCCACAGGGCTCCCTTTAAGGTCCTCTTATTTGTACTGCTAAACTTGGTCTGAACACCTCATGTGCAAATTTAGATTTTTCTGCTGAAGAGCGCAGTTGTTTACAGATGTGGACCAATCGTTCTTTAGGCCACTGAACTCCTAGATATACACAATTTAATTGGACACTATGTGACAATGTATGACAAACGCGTAGAACTTTTATCTATCCACAATGTCCAGAAATATATGGGAGTAGAAAGTAGGTCATTTATGCTAGCTTGACTTTGGCAACCTTAAAATACATAAAGAAAAGCTACATATTTTGTTTCATGTTTGTTTATGTAGTTAATTATGTATCCTTGGGACAGTGAAGTATGAACGCCCCTTTCCACGACTTCAAACAGCAGGAAAAAAAAAGAAGACACTTGGTATGATGCAATATTGAAATTCAAACTCAAATTCTCATAATTATGACGTTGATAGTGGTAACTATGACTTTGCAACTCATAACTGAGGGGTTTTTTTATATCATAATTATATCACTGAAAGTAAAAATTATGATTTTGAATACATTTTTAAAAGAAAATAAGAAAGGCGGAATGTAAAAAAAAAAAGCCTCAAAAAACTAAAAGCAATTTGTAATACAAAAAAAGGTTACAGAAATAATTTTACTTTTTAACTTGCATGTAGTAGAAAGTGGGCATTCCCAAATGGGAAAAAAAAATAAAAATAAATCACCTTCTCAGCACTAAACTACAAGAACACTCCCAAACGCGGATATTAGCAGCTCACAGAGAGCGAAAAGAAACCTCTAGGCTTTGTCTCACCTGTGTAGCTTCCACTTCTCTGCCAGTCGTGCAGACAGAACCTGCCGCACACTGAACGCATTACCTGGTGTTGGAATAATTAAGCTAACTGCTGAAGGCTCACGCTAAGAACGTTTTAATTTTGATTGGACAGACTGGGAGCTGAATGACGCACAGCTGTTGGCTAATGCTGCTGACGAGCAGCACGGCTCAGTTTATGTGCTTCCAGCAACATTAAAGCTAATGTGATGAAGTAAATTTGCAGCTTTTTAGCTGTGGTAATAAATACATGTCAAACTGCTATGAGAGGATTTGTAGACATCAGCATATGGCTAGCTAGAGCAGGCTAACGTTAGCAACACTCTGTAAGCATGGAGACATTTTGGTTTATTTAAAAGAAACAGAGGTTGAAGATCATTTAGCTAGTTTGACTCCTGCTATGTAAACTACAGCTATAACTGAGAGTATTGTTTTCATCTTCATTGTTTCCTACAGTAACCTTTAGCACATTGATAAAAATCCTGATGCAGCAGATTTTTACAGATTACTGCAAACACACTGTTAGTTCAGGAAATCTCATAATTAGCTTATTATGAAAGGGTGCAGAATATTTTGATTTTCAATTATTTGGAATATGTGTTTCAATTAGGCTTATTTGTCAGATTAGAAAATGCCTTTTGAAAATTGAAAACCTTTAAACAGGTGTTAAGCATACTTTTCATTTAAGTTACATTTCAAAATTAATTTTTTGCTGCTCTGATGTAATATAATTTTAAATGTGATGTTTTTGTTAACTGTAAGTGGAATATCTTCGTAATTAACAGAAATAAAGACTTTTAAACATAAATCTAATTTATTGAATGGGTATTTTAATGTGGTGCAAAACTATGAAACTGACAAAATCTGATCACACCTTACCTTTAAAGTTAGTTAAAATTTTACTTGGCCATTTTTCTATGCTGCACTACCCAAGAAAACGTATTGTGTACTTAACAAATAGATCTGACATTTTCTAGACCTAAAATTAGGCATAATCAGTCTAACACAATCATAAATCCTAATCCAAGACACATAAGTCAGACATTTCAAAAAGTGTTTTCTTAAGGTCTGGGTTATACATAACAAATAAATCAACTTTTCCTCTGTTTTACAAAGTAGGCCATGGCATTCATAATGCAAAGCACGAATGTTCCTCTTTATATAACCTCTCCTCCGCCACCGATGTCCTTTCACTGGGTGTGAATGTGGTAGTCGTGGCATTTTGTTTGGTCATTTCATTATAAATTATCTTCCACATTAGCCATTTTACTCAGCTGCAAAGTCTCTGTAGCTGCCATCTTGCATTGTCCTAAGACAGAAAGTCAGTGTTGTGTATGCAAATATGACATTCAGCGATCTAGACTTCCATCCACTAATCTGATACATCAGCATTCCAGCTGAGTTCCCCGGGGAGAACAGGGAACTAATATATTCTTATAAAGTGGACTCTGGTAAAAGTCGAAATTCATCAAAGCCACCATCTTGGAACTGGTAAGGCTCGACGATGCTAAGTGAACTGCAGAAACTTTAATGCTTTTTACACATTTTCCAATTTGTTCATGTTACGACTTCAAACTTTTATATTTCAGGTGAAACCCCAACAAGTAACAGCTAATCTGGTTTCATAAAAATCTGAAGAGGATAGATGAGCATTTGTATGTAGCAAATACTTTCTAGACCCATGTTTATTAATGAACTACCTTGTGTTGGTCCATCACTTCATATTTCTATGAAATACATTGAAGTTTGTGGGCTTAACGTGATAAGATGTGATAAAAAAATATGGGGCCTGACTAGTTCTGGATGATACTGTATAGAAAAGAGCAGAAACAAAGACAGCCTTAGCTGAGTTAGCTGAGTGTGACCGTGTGCTTATATAGAGAACAGCAGACATATGGCCTGTTGATTATTGAAAAGTCTCTCGTGAACAAAGCGCTGCTGTTTCCATGGAGCTTGTTATAGAGGAGTTAGCGCGTTTTGGCTGCAGCAGGGGGTCATAACTAACAAGATGTGATGTTATTAAGCGTCACGTAAAACATAATGCGATGCATGTTCAAACTACGGGAGGCTCGTCGCAAACTAAAACCGATGGCAAAAGATTTTCAGTGACTCGTTTCTCCGTTCACTTTTCTGCAGCTGCTTTATCCTGTTTAAGGTTTTGAGCAGGCATTTAGAAACAGCAGCAAGCTGAACACGGTTTTCTGTACTACTTCCTTCTGATGATAAAGTGCAAATAGGCATAAAGGGGCATGTTTGAAACATTCACAAAATCTAGCCCAACGTGAAGTGGCCAAGGTAAACTGCTCTAACGTTTAGATTATTCCATTTCTAATGCAGAAATGGATCTGCTTTTTTTGGCAATAAAGATGTTCAAGTCGCATAGGATTTTTGAAATCAAGAAGTGTGTGTGGGCACAAATAATCCAAATAATTCCTTTTTTTTTTCCTTTTTTTTTTTTTAAACCAGAAATAGTGCCCAGAAACACAATAATGATTGGAATAAATACTCTGTGTTTTCTACTAGCTCACTACTTAGCATCTGACATGAGACCGATAAACGACTGAACGTTCTGGTGTAGCTTGGAGTGACAGGTTTTGGTTTGTTTGGACTTTTCTCTGACTGAAAAGAAACTTAACTACGAGATAAAGTTATAGTTAACAAACTCATCAACTGACTGACCAAAGTAAACAAACTCCATGGGTGAAGATGCCATTAATCTGAAACCACTACAGTTTTTACTGCTTTACTAGAGTGTTGTACCCATAAAGCTAAAATAAATAAACCAAAAACATTTAAAACTGTATTTTTGTCTGACAACAATAAACACTAGATTTTTATGTATCAGATGTAATGACCTTATTATGTATAAAAAAAGTTTATTGTCAAAGGACTAACTGCTCTGTTTTAACTATCTGGAAATTTAACACTGGTTAAATGAGGCCAAAAGTCAATAAATACGGGATAATTAGACTCAAGGGAAGTCATTAGCTGTTGTGACTGACTCAAATTATTTTATCTCTGCCATTTTACTTTAACCTGACTTATTTTCATCCCTATATTGTAAATACTATTAGTATTACTTACTGATTATTCTTATCTTTCTCATCATTTTAAGCTTATGCTTTGAATGTGATGAATTTTGATACCTTAATATGTTGAATCCATGAACAAGACTCAGACTGCAAATATGTCAAACCTGCATAAGCTACACATTTCAAATGAACAAATTATTTTCTTTATTTACACTTAAGCTAAAAGCA